GATTAACAACAGAAATTGAGGGATGACTTGATGACATCGTTAATGTATCTTTTCAAGGAGAAAATAATACCAGTTAATAAAGAGCTCTTCAGCCTAGATGAGAGAGGCATAAAAAGAGCAAATGGTGAGAAGCTGATGCCAGACAAATTCAAATGAGATATAATAAAGAGTAACAGTCATGATGATTAATCACTTGAACAAACAACCTCCTCCACATTATGAAATTTTTTAGATGAAAAGTGGATGTCTTTCTGAAATACATGATTTAAACAAATGGTTTAAGCTCTAAACAACTGCATAAAATTCCTTGTACAATCTTAGAAGGCCAAAGTGGGTGATCAAACAGTGCCTCAAACCTGAAAGTTTTAATATGTGGCAGTTTCCAGAACCACACAACCATTTATAACTACTGCTGGCTTTCCATCATTTTCTGTTTTTTGAATTTTCTCAAAATGCTAAGTTTGTGAAACAGTTTTCTAGCCCTCAGTCTTGTTACACAAAAGGTTAATTTCCCTTCAGACATATCAGGTAAAAAGCAGGTGAAAGTTGTATTTAAAAAAACACTCCTGTTTCAAATAGCATTTAACATAAATAGGGAGAGGGGGAAGAGGGAGAAAAAGACACAAACAGCAGCTCTGGAAGTATTAAAAGCATGCTCTGAAAACCTCTGTGATGACAGTTTGAAGAAAGCAGCTTTTATGTGCTACTGAGCCCATCTCCACAATGTCTTTTAAATGCAACTGTTTACCTAGAAAATATCAGCAAGGGCCAGAATCTGGACTAGATGAGGCACCTTTTGATTGCAGACACTGAACTGAATCCTTACCTAATAAATTGTTCCACACCTTTGTCTGAAACAAGAAAAGCAAAGGTCTTCATTTTCTCACAAGAATGCACAAGCCCCCTCAAAAGCAGTATGGTTTTCTACATCTAAGTCTCAGTATTTGTTGACTTAAAGAGTTTGTATGAATGACAATGCACATCACTGGTTTGTTACTTCTGTCATCTGTGCTACTGAGTGTACCTTGGCTCAGATCAAAGTTGAAAGCTTCTTAAAAGATACACAAACCACAATGTGACAAATAGCATGCTTTGTTTGACACAGCAAACAAGAAATTACTTTCATCAATCCAGGGAAAGAATCCTGTGTTTTCAGTGCTAATTCTGAAGGCTGCAGTGATGGAACCAGAGCTTTACTTCATCCCCAAGGAATGAGGACCTCTCCAAAGACAAACAGAAAGGAAGAAACAATTTCAGTGCATTAAATGCTGACAATGGTATGAATTTGAGGCTTGCATTCTATGGGACACATTTGCAGAAAATTCCCCCTTCATACAATTAAACAGATATCCCACAAAGTGAAAAATGTCTCCATTAAGCAAATATTAATCTGAGTGGAAATTAGAGATTAGAACCTTCTCAGCACTTCATAAACAGATCCAAAACTAAACATTCCTACATCTACCACATTGCACAGCCTCCTACCACACATGGTTAATACACCAGCAGCACAAATATTGCAAACAATATGTTTTGTTCTTCTAATAGCAACATTGCCTAAGCAATCGCCAATGCATTCTAATCAAATATTTTAAAGTTTTCAAAAATATAAAGCACATTAGATCTATAAATCCTTACTAAATGTGCACTATTGGAGTAAAAAAGATTTTCAATAAGGCGTATGCTCAATAAAAATCAGTGGTCATATGTGAAATCACGTTTTGGTTGGAATCTAATTTGATCCAATAATGTATATGTACAAATTTACCATTAAATTAAACTTTTTCTCCCTGAGGAGGAAGTAATATTTACTTAACAGAGCAGATTTTTAATTCAGCTATGAACAAGTGACAGCCTTTTCACTGGCTTGTAAGGGCTTTAAATGAGACCTAATAACATCCCTACTACCCTTACAAACTAAAATTGCTCAGCTTTCCTACTGAGTTGGAAGCACATGCCTGAAAGTTAACAGAAATTCACAGAAAATGCAAACAGTAAGAAAATAACAATGACAAATACAGAGTATGCCCATGTACAAACAAATATGTATTTAATATATGTGAACAAAGAGCAAATGGAGTAAAACATTTTCAAACTCCTGAGAAGAAAGGGCAGACACTGTGTTTTTGTAATTAAGGATGTCTGACTCGGATCTCTTTAAACAACCTTTAACAGGGCAACTACAAAGGTCTGTGACACTGCTCCTTGCTGAGTCAAAGGCAGGGCTCACATGTGCAGATTTGCCAAAACCTGCCCTCCTCAGCCAGCAGAAGTATTTCAAGCTGGAATTCCTCTTTAATGCATTCAGACTCGGCTCTCATTGTTTATGACCACAGTGCACTGGGTTCTCAGAAGAAATCCTGGCTTGTAGGCTTCCAGGAGAATAAATGTCCTGATTTCCAGTGGGAGAAAAAAATCTGTGTGTTCACACAGGCAAAGGTTTATTCATCCTACTGGATGTTTACACCCTGGAGCCTGGTTGGGAGGCAGGGACACAGCCCAGCATCCCTGGGACCATCCTACCTAACAAAACCTTTTAGGGATAAGCCCAGGGCAGGTAGAGACCTCACCATGCTCACTGCTCTCCACACAGATTTTATTTATTGTGTCAATACACACTTTTATAACACATCCTTTTAGAAACCACCAACCTGCACAATAGTACTGCTTTCCTTTCACTTATATTCATATTTTTATCACAATTTTTAACAAAACGAAGAGTGAAAACACATTACAGGCAGCAGGTTTCATGATGTAAAGACACAATATCAGTGGAGCCCATTACAGTGGCTACACTAAAAAGTTTGCTTCAAACCTTTTCCCCAGCATTGCTGTTTCTGTATCAGATTTATTCAGCCCACACAATTTAATAGCTCTTCCTGAAAAGTTGCTCTCCTGCCATTGATGACAGCAGGCCACCTGCCTCTGCTAATTAGCAGTACCATGCCCAGTTGCAGCTCTACAAGAAGAAAATAGATTGGCTCTCTGGCTGATGCATTTCATTCTAGAAGACCAGAAGCTGTTGAATCTGTGTCTTACTCCTCCAAAAAGGTTTTAAAATTTACTGCAATGTACAGTACCTCAGCTGAGTACAGCTAACCTGTGGCTAAAAATCCTCATTTTTCCTAAGTCTCCTTACAAAGAATTCTGTAAAAGTCAGTCATTTGAGACAGATCTGAGATTTCAGCACTATTTAAACATACAATTAACATTTTAAAATTATACACATGGATATAACCAGGTATCATTAGTCACTTATTAGTCACCTTCAAAACAGGCAGCATGTTCATTATGTTAATGTCCTTGGAGGGTTTAAAGCAACCTTTTGCATTTGAAGTGGAGGCTCTTGGTAAAATGTGGCACTTAATAAGAAATGGCAATTACTAAGGCATGTTACTCTCCAGAAGACTGCAGTATGAATTTTAATTTCTTCCTGGCCATGTATCAGCTAAGGCTAACGCAGGCATTTTAGTTTAGAAGCACTAGGAAGTACAGTAAAAGTGAAAACCAAAATGAGAGAGGACACTAATCTTCTCTGAGTTTCAATTAAGGCCCAGCACCTCTGGATTAAAGGCTTATTTTAACGAAAAGCCTTAATTAAGCATACATGTGTATAGGATCACCTTAATGAGGTATGACAGAAATAGAAGAGATGGCAAGCATTATTTGAAAAGAAAGTTATTAGCAACTTTAGGAAAGTCAGTCATAGATTCTAAAAAAAACTTGAATGCAATACTGAAAAGACACAAGAATGCTGAATCATGTTCAAGCATAAAACTGAAACAGAAATAGGCACAAGATAATTTTCAGTTACTTTATAATTATTTTCAGTATCTTTATATCCACAATGATACATGTCAGTGATTTTTCTACACATCAGTGGGTTGGGTTTTGAAAATATTTCAGCATTTATCTTTCATTTAAATTTTAGACAGCAGAAAATCGAGTTTTCTACTTATTTCCTAATTAAAATTTATTACTGAAAATCTTTAAAAGTTTATACTGTAAAATATCCTTTCATCACATTCGGTGTCAGGATAACGTGCAAGTTTCCTTTAAAAACTGCTATTTTATCTTTTAATTCCTGCCTTTGGAAACAATCAGTGATTTAATGTCATTTTAAAGATAGCCACTTCAGCTGCTTTTTACATCTTCCCCTACCGTACAGAGAGGTATTCTCATTTGCAGATTTGACTTTAAAGTAATTACTTGTAATTACAGAGAAGTGCATCCAGTGGATTAATCACTCCATTTATATGCTGCTCAAAGGATTACTCTCAGGACAGCCTAACTGCTTTTGCTCAGAAAATGTCACTTCCACAGGAAAACAAATCTCTCAAGTCAGCAGCAGCTGAGAAGGACTCTGACAAGTATTTAAACCCCAAAAAATCAAAGAAATTGCACACCTGGATTTGAGGCACCATCTGTGCCTGTTCTCCTCGTGAAAAATAAAGGGCCACCAAGTGAGAATAACCAGGGAAATGGCCAGAGGAAGCCCACACTCCTTCTAGAAGGACTTCCACACAATTCTGCATCTGAAAGAAACACATCAGTGCTAACCAAAGACATGGGCTTTGGCTCAGGAAGCCACATTTTAAAATATGGGAAGTCCCTGAAGGAGCTGATGCTGTACTAAACACTTCTTATCATGTCCCTGAGCCATTTTCTTTCTTGCCTTGCACAAAAATGGGATATTAGGAGACAAAGACCTTTGTTTGATCCATATGGATACCCTTCATCTGTCCTCTTTTTAAAGATATCTTCTTTTTTTAGTGGTGATTCTATCATAGAGTTGCCAAAGACACAGGTGACCCAAAATGGCAGCGAGGAAGCTGCTGAAGGCTCTGGAGCACGAGTCCTGTGAGGAGCAGCTGAGGGAGCTGGGGATGGAGAGCCTGGAGAAGAGGAGGCTCAGAGGGGACCTTGCTGCTCTCCACAAGTACCTGAAAGGAGGCTGTAGCCAGGTGAGGGTCAGTCTCTTCTTCCAGGTAACAAGCAGAATGGATGAGAGAAAACGGCCCCAAGGTGGGTCAGGGGAGGTTTAGATTGGAAATTAGGAGAAATGTCTTTACTGAAAGGGTTGTCCAGCACTGGAACAGGCTGCCCAGGGAAGTGGTGGAATTACCATCCCTGGAAGTGTTTTAAAAAATGTGCAGATGTTAGAGGCAGTTAGAGGCACAGTTTAGTGGTGGATTGGCAGTGCTGGGTTACTGGTTGGACTTTTCAAGTTATTTCAAACCTAAACCATTCTATAAATCTGTGATAATCACAGGGCCTGCCTTCCATCTTACTACCTGCCAGGTTAAAAATGCACATTAAAAACTGAAAAAAGCAACAAAAATATCTTCAAATCCAAATGCACATGGAGGGACACAACTAATGCTCACTAACCCCCACATTACCCCACATTCATAGAGCTGAATGGGAAAACACTGCCTAGGGACAGTGGGATACAGTGAGTGGTAGGGAAAACCAGAAAGGAATCATTCCCAGGGGCTTCCCTATGGACAGTGACTGGTATCAAGCCAGGAGAGGCTCCACTCCACCCTCTGAGGAGAAGGGAGCAACACCTCCCACTGCCATCCTTCCCTCAGAGCCTATGGGGCTGTGGGGCTGGGGGAAAAGGGACAAAAGGTTAAAAAGAATCATCATGGCTGGAAAAGACCTGTAAGACCAGTGAGTCCAACCATCAACCCATTAACCACTGCTGGGTCCACCACAAAACCATGTCCCCAAGTGCCACATCTACAGCTTCCCTGCAGCACAGACAGAGCCCTCTGGTCATCCCATCTTGAGCTGTGAGTGGAGAAGAGCAGGGCTGGCTGTGGAACAACCACACACTGAAACAGCCAGAGCTGGGCTCCCAAGAGTAGGAGGGACATGGACCTGGAGGAGTGAATGCAGAGGATGCCACAGAGATGATCAGGAGGCTGGAGCACCTCTGCTATGGAGACAGACTGGGAGTTGGAGCTGTTCAGCCTAGGAGACCTTAGAGCAGCTTCAAGTGCCTTAAGGGACAGCAGGAGAGGGAACAGAGTGATAGGACAAGGAGTTAAATGGCTTTAAACTGAGAAAGGGTAGATTTAGTTTAGATATTAGGAAGAAATTCTTCCCTGGGAGGGTGGTGAGGCCCTGTCACAGCCTGCCCAGAGAAGCTGTGGCTGCTCCATCCCTGGAAGTGTTCAAGGCCAGGTTGGATGGGGTTCTGAGCACCCTGGGATAGTGGAAAGTGTCCCCAGCCATGGCAGGGGAGGTGGAACAAGGTGACCTTTAAGTCCCCTTGCAAACTAAACCTTGCTGTGGGTGTGAATCAGCCCTGTAGGCAGTGGCTCCTGTTTGTCACAGCTGAGGGCTCTCACTTCACCCCTGCAGCCTCCCCCAGGTCACCTCCTCCTGCTGTACTGGGGGGATGCTGGGACCTCAGAGGAGCAGCTCCAGCCCAAAGGGGCTGCCAGCATCATCCCTGCCCTTGTGTCACTGGCTTCCCTTTCTACAACAAGCAGAACAGCTCTGGGGTTTATTGCTGCAGCCACGTTTTTGTCAGCTCAGCCTGAAATTTGTGATTCCTGCCATTGGTTCTGAGTCCATTCCCTGTACACTGCAGCCCAATGAGGGTGAAATGAGGTTGACAGGAGGGGAACAGACTTGGTGATTTATGGATCCAAAGTTAACTTCTGTGCCTGGAACAGATGGTAAGCTCTTTCCCATGGGATCCTGAGGAGAAAACAACAGAAATTGTAGGTTTCTTATCTGCTATTGAGGAGGCTGCTTCTCCTGGGAAATATTATTGAAGTCCTTGTACAAGTCTGCATGTAAAGGAACACTATTCTTGTCAAACCAGCTAAAGATTAGCAATGGAACATCATGATTTTACAGATTTATCTCCTAAAATAAAGCATAAGCATGGGGAGAAATGGAGGAACAGGTAGATAAGCCCATTCCCTGTATAAAAATAATACATTCTTGTTTATATTCAGGGCTCTGGAAGGCAAAATTAGCCTTTGGGATTGTTTTTAATTATACGAAATTAAAATGTGTTTGGGCATGCCAAACTTTTATAGTTCATAATGAGTTTATTGAATATAATAATTATGAGCTCAGTAATTAAAACTTTAAAATTACTGTTATTTTATTTAATATAAATGATAAATCAAAGATTTCATTTGACTTTTTATAAGTTAAAACTAGGATGTGTCAGAAACATCAATCTTAAATATCTTAAATTTCATATTACAGTAATTGCATGTTAGGCTTCAACTACTGGAGTTGTATGTGTATAAAAGCTTTTAACAATTCAAAAATATTGGCTAAGTGCAGAGTTTAATTTAATTTACTATAATATGTATGGTTTTAAATAGTTTATAACAATAATTATTCAAGATTGGTTGGGGTTTTTTTTGCTTTTTAGAGCTGCTTCTCCAAAAAAGAGACATAGCAGTTTCTGCAGTTGCTCTGCAGGATGATATAATAGATAATCATCAGCTGCAGGATCCTTTAACATCCTAAGTCAAGGACAAGGAATACAAAGAACTTTTACAAATCCCATGAATAAAAGAAATAGTCAGAGTAATAGCAGATACAGGACTAAGAAGAAAGAGCACAAAAGCAAGGAAGGTGCAAAAAAGGAGAATCTTCTTGACCCCCAGTGCTCCACAGCTGACATTAGGTAAACCATTCTGATTTGTAATTTTTGTTATTATATAAAATAAACTAAAATGTGGACACTAAGCTTTCTGTTCAGAAGACAATTTAATGCTCAACAGCATGGTATCTTGTTTTAAAATTTATCAAAATTCAGCAGTTTAAGCCATTAGGTAAAAAATGGGATTGCCATCAGTGGCTTAAATGTGTGATTTCATATCTGAAATGCATTTAAAACATTATTTTTGTGACAATGTAAATGTAAAAAGGTGAAACTAGGGCATCTTGATGAAGACATATTCTTCATTAGAACCAATAAGTACTTTTAATGTCTATTGAATGTCCTAACTTTCTTTACATTTTATTTTAAGAAAGCATCAGTGATTTTCTTACTGTATTTAGTTGGGGACAGGTTCTAGCATTAAGCTTTTTTTAAGGTCTATTTGAAATGGTCTGGTTTATTCCTTATTCTGTAAAAAGACATTTAATAAAGCTGCATGAAATGTATTCTTTGTTAATACATACCCAGCTTTGCTCAAAGTTTAAAAGGTTTGTTTATACAATGGTCCTGGGGCTAAACCAGGGAAGAATTAACACCTGTAGCTAAATACCTTTTTCAAATTTAGAAGCAAACATGCAGCAAGATAAAAGTCACAGATGTGAGGGCTTGGAATGATGCCTGGTGAGAAAATTCACTTTTAAATAGTGTTATAATAATACAGTTGTGGAGCAGCGACAGATGATATTGCTCAGAAAAACAAAACCAGGGAGCATCTTAAGAGACCAGGAGATCAAATGTGCTTCTTGCCTCTCTGTATTTCCCTTTTCTAAAGATTTCAACACTATTTTTGCCATGAACATCCTCTTATGTCCATCCTTTCTGTTGCCTCAATTGGGCACTACTTAAAGAACCTTCCGGCTCCAAAATTTGCAGTTTTGAGTATAATAAACTTTCATCATTGTTAATAGCTGTTTTATTTATTCTTTTTCATGCAAACACCCTTTGGCCTCCCTGAAGATCAGGTTGGCTTTGCCATAGGAACTGTCACAGTAATCCCAGCTCCAAGGGAACCCATTCAACCGGGGATGCTCCATCCAAGCACATCTGCCTTTGGAACCAGAAGATTCAGAGTAGTGCACAACAAGAGAGTATAACCAGTGACAGGACAAAGGTTATTAGATGAGCTAATTAGCACTATATTTACATGGTTATAGTTCTAAAGAGGGCAGGGTTGGTTTTTTTTTTTTTGGTTCATTCTGAAGAGAGGATAGCAGGGGGAAAAACAGAAAAGAGGTATTGGGGTTAAAATGAACATCAATAATGAGTGATTATGGAAGCTAAAGGCTGAGGTGAAAAAATGCAGCCCAGGTGTGAGCATGTCTTCTGCTGTTATTAGAAAGACTAAGTATTTTCTCCTTAAATCACAGCACTGACTGAATTTTCCCACACAAATATTCGTGAAAGGGATTCAAAAGACTGTGCTGAAATACTTTTTGAAATTTCAATTGTTCCTGGGTTTTACTTTGTAGTATTTTCACCAATATTCTTATATTATTTCAAAATACATCTGTCAAACTTTCTCTTCCTTAATAAGGATTGTGTGGTTTAAACATTAAAACTGCAAAACAACTTTGAAAATGTAATTTAATGGAACATTTTTTTCTTGAGTTTATGGGTAATAAAACAAAGTTTCACAGGTCTGTGTCATTCATTTTTTTTCAATAGGGGTTTGATTCCTAAAATCCAGCATTGATAATTGAAAGGTTAATGTATGTAAACGCTTCAATAAGGTTTATTTTAGGATAAATAACTTGGTTGTAAATGGGTGTGTCAGTAAATGGGTTGGGCTTTTAAACTTGATGCATAAAGATGAAAATTCTTGGATGTCTTGAGCTGTAATAAATGTAGGTTTTCATTGCTTGTATTTTTTCAAAGTGCTGCATTGAGAATATCTCCACAGAGCCTTTTGCTTTGACCACAGGTCCCTCCTTGTGTGTCCTGCCACCAGATTTCCCTCAGAAACTCTGCTGCACAGAGGTTTTTCTTCTAAACACCTGTAGAACCTGTCTCTCACAAGTGTCCCATCTGGCCTGTATTATTTAGAAGTTCAGCTTTGCTGCCAATCTCTTCTTCTTTGGCAGTTTAAATAATCCATTTGTGAAGGCTTTAAATAAGAATTTTCTCTTACCCTGGGGGTATACAGAAGGCTTTCCACAAAGCCATCTCATTTTCTTCCTTAAAACAGTCTCTGACCACAGTGCTTGGAAAGAAATCAAGATCAGGCATTTTCTAGGTTGTGATGGTGTCTTTCATGCTGTCACTGCTTTGCTTTCTTGTTCACTCCCCCTGTACCCAGATTTTCTCATCACAGAGGCCATCACTTCATAGATTGGGCTACCAAAATAGGATAACAAAAGTGGGGTCTAGGTGAACCAAACCACATGCAGGGTAATCTCTCCCCACATTGTTCCAAAAGCATAAACTGACCCAGCTGAAACCTCAAAGCTGTTGCTCTAAAACACAGATTCAAATTGATTTATGTTTGAAGGATGTCATGACCTCACAAGGAAGTGGGTTAGGCAGATAGTTCAACTAAAGGGAAGGCAGTATTCCTGATAGATCCTTTAGTACCTCTCAAAAGATCTTTTAAAAGATCAAAGGCAGTTTGTGCAAATTTCAGATGATTAACGATATACATCTGTAGATGGATGAGCTCAGAAGGAGAATTTTAGCCTCAAAAATTAACAAATCCTGCCCTAGAATAATGAGATGCTTGAGCAAGGGGATCACCAAAACCCCATGACTTGCTAGGATCCTTTTTTCTTCATGAGAAATGGGTTTGGATGCACAAGCTGCCTGATGGGGGTTTTGAAAGCTTACACAGAACAAATATGTGCTGCACAGTAGTGTCAGATTTGTGCACAGATTCTGGTATGAATGAAGGAGTTTACCCTTTCCTTCCCATCTAGGATTGGAACTCTCATCTAGGTGTCATCAGCTTGCATTGTAATTATTGCAATTACTGTATGTCAGTGTTTCTTTCTTGTTTTGTCAAACACCAGTAAGGCCTCACCATGGACTCAAGTTACAGGCTTGTTACACAAACCTTGGACATTTCTCCAGATTCTGGTCTTCAAAGATGATAAATTTCTATATTGTCCTAGCACATGGGTTTTATTGCTGAGGTACTGACACTGGACTTTATCTGGCACTTGTAGGGGCAGGCAGGAATGCTGTAAGTATTTCACTTGTAAGGAATTTCACTGGTTCCTTCTTTAAGAAAGCAGAGATTTCACATCTACATGCAGCAGGCACCTCACATTCATTACTGGAGATGGACAAGTTCAGCTGTAACAGTGACAGTATCACTGGCCTCTTGTGACCATCTCTTTGTCTCTTCATGCTCTTTATTTCTCTTTCTTATCTCACAGCCTCATTGAACTCCAGAATTTTGCAGCAGCAGCCACAATTCTTTATTAGACTGCTTGATTAATTTTTATTTTTAAGAATTCATAAATGCGATGCTGAGGAAAATTTCACCATTTTGAGATTTTATTTATACTGATTATTTGAAATTGTGTTGTTATATTCTTTAGTTAATCCCATTTTAAAGGCTCTGAAAAGTATCAAAATAAATTCAAATTACTCAGCAAATAAAAATGTACATTAAAAAATCTTGTATAAATCCTGTATGTAAAAGAGGTTCTGGTAATTAATGAATAGCTAATCCATTAATGGTTTAGTTTGGAAGGGACCTTAAAGATCATCCAGTTCCAACTCCCTGACATGGACAGGGACACTTTCCACTACCCCAGGTTGCCCAGAGCCCTGTCCAACCTGGCCTTGAACACTTCCAGGGATGGAGCAGCCACAGCTTCTCTGGGCAACCTGTGCCAGGGCCTCACCACCCTCCCAGGGAAGAATTTCTTCCCAATATCTAATCCAAACCGACCCTCTTAGAGTCTGAAGCCATTTCCCCCTTATCCTATCTCTCCCTGCCCTTGCCAGAATTCTTACTTAACAGTAAGAAATGTGTTGCCTGATGGTGCTTTGTCTGATGAGAGATTTATATGAAGTATCTGTATAAAGTATTTCTAAGCAAATGCAGTATTAATGAATTTCATGTGAAGAAAATCCATTGTCTGTAAAGGCCAATGAGGTTTACTCAGTAATTTGTTGTCATTGTTGCTCAGAAGTCAGTAGTTGAGCACTCTTCCTTATCATTTCCTGCTGAAAAATAGGTAAAGAGATCCACACAGCATGGAAAATCCATACAGTGCTGTCCAATACTGAGGAAGGAGTTTGCTATTCAACCCAGGGTACAAATATAACTGAATAATTGTGTGGACTCACAATTGTATGTACTTATTTTATTTTCTTGAGGTACTGCTGAGAGTCATCAGCTGGAGGAAGAAATGAAGGAAAGATTCTACTTTTGGACACCATTTATCTTTTAATAGGTGGACCAACTCAGTGGCCAACTCTGATATTATTTTGAAGATGACATGGTAGAGGAGGTATTTGTGCACTTCTGATGTTATGTTATGACAGTAGAGAAGCCTTTTTATCTGTTCTTGCAAAGCAGGTATAGGCTATTTTCTGCTTCAAATAAACTCCTGTTAGATATGGCTCTGGCCCTCATTCACCAGGGAAACATTTACTGTGTGTACAATTCAAGATATTTTCACCTTCTCAAAAGCTTTGCTAATTTCAGATGAGAACAACAGTTACTTCTATTTGGGAAACAAAGCAGGTGTACACCCAATGCCAGACAGTCACTTCCTCAGGTTATTTGATGAAATGCCTGCATTTTACCTTGATGGCTTGCTCAATGCCCATGTGTAGCATGGGCATAAATACATCCTGTTTTATTCCATTCTCTAATCTATTACCTTGAAAATATTAGGCAAAAGAGACAAGTGACTGATGGAACAAAGAGCTGCTTCAGAGAAGGGATGATGGTAATTAGAAGAATTATCCCAATTGCTTAAAAGTTTCTTTCCACAGTGCACCTTAGGGTAGTTTTTCTGCCTGTTCCCTTTTCAATTTTTTAGAGGACTTTTCACAGCCAAGTGTGTGTTGTGAATCAAAGTCTTTGAATATCCTTAGATACAGGCCTGTTGCTTCTTTTTACACCAACATTAGCTGGAGGTGAACAACTGTCCACAGACAGGTGGGAGAGGTCAGGAAAGACCTGCCCATTTCTGGCTACCCTGAAAGTCTGAACCTTCACAAGAGGGAGCAAAATACAGCACTCATTTAAAAGGTAACTCTACATTTGGCACAAAAAGGCAAATGCCTCTGGAATTCTGTTTGTCCTCCCTTAGCTTTCCTCCCTCGAGGGAAAAGCCACTGCCTGTGAAAGCTCTGAGCTCTCCCTCCAGCTGCCTGCTGGCCATTACTGCTCCTGTTCTTGCCAGCTCCAGTGCTCACTGCTTCTTCCGGGCTTCACTCCTTCCCCAGGCTCCCCTTCCTCTAAGAGCCAACTGCTGCTCTTGTCCAACTCTGTATCTTTTGTCAGGACAGAGATCATCAGCACTTGGTGGGAATGTTGGTCAGATAAAGGTGAAGTTTTCTTGCGGCCTGTCGGCTTTCTTTCTCTTTTGTCTTATTGTATGTGAGAAACGCTGCATTTGATGTGCATCACTTCTTGAAATGTAATGTCTCTGTTGGGAAAGGGGAGGAAAATTATTCAGACTTCATTTTAAATGTTTGGTTTATAATTTTTTTCTCCAGCCAGTAGCAGTTGCCATTTCTTCCTTTCTGCCACCCCATGTGCTGTTAACACAAAATTCACAATTTCACAAACTAATTTTGTTTTCACTCAAAAGAGTGCAGTAATCACAGAAGCAAACTGATGACCTTTCAGAATTTTTCTTGTCAGCATTTTTTTCCTTTTCAGCTGTTAGAATGCTTTAAAGTCAGGTTTGGTTCTGGGGTTGTTTTCTTTCCTTTGAAAAAACAGGTGCTGCATTCATGTTCCCATGTAGTCCATTAAGGGAGTACATTTTTATATAACTATTCAAGCACATAATACATGAGTCTTTTAATTAAACTACCTAAGTGGATATCTTAATGAATTAAATGTAATCATCTTGAAAAGTAATTTTGATTCCAGATTTTTATGGTAAGAAATATAATTTAAAGCTATTTTATGATGAAGCACTTAATTCTTTTTATAACCTTTTTTTAAAAGCATATGGGAAAATAGTTTGTAACTCAACTATACAGGAGTATACTAACCTGGAATAATTTAATCCATGAAATTTCATGTGAATACGTAGAGACTTACAAAATTCTCTTAATACTTCAATTTTAAAAACATGCATGTTGTAGAGTGTTCATAGATTGATTAATTAACTGTTTTTACATTCTGTAATCTAGTCTGTTTCATCTGTACCAACAAGATGAAATATATTGTAAGTAATTGTAATTATAATTATTTTTTCAGTGATGCCTGAAAGCCTTTGAAAAATTTACAGGTAAAAAGTTGTCCTATGTGTAGAAAAGAGCAGGATCAGACCAGAGTAATACACGATGGGGCATGCTTGGTTAAATTGAATTAATTAGGTAAGCCTTACTTCTGCTACAGGTGTGTCACCAGGCAATATTTATTTCTTAATAATGTTCCAAATGCATTACACTTTTAGTAAGAAACTAGACAGAATGCATGCACTAGAAAAGTTAAAGTTCAAAAAAAAAGTAATAAATCATTGTTTCATATAAATAACTAAATTATAAAAATTCGAGTTTCCTCTTCTTGAGCAGAATTGTGTCTTAGAGAATTTAAGCTTCCTGGAGGGGATATATTGTTATAACAGAGTCTAAAGACTTAAGGGAAGCAGTGCCTCCTAAGGATAGAAAGTTAAGAAAGCAACTATTTGAAAAAATGTTTTGCTGTATTTGCTTCCTTGGTCTTTTTCCTTGGGGCAATTCAGCTTCCTTAAACCAGAACTCCTGAATATGATGAGTTCCCTCCCTCCCTTTTCACTCATTCCTTCTCATTGACCCTGACCAGGCAGCACTGGAGCCACCCAGTTGTTCTGTCAGTCTGTTCATTCCATCCTCTTCAGAGCCAATGCAAAATCCTTCCCCAGAAAAGAGAAAAGAATATGAAGGTGACTGTAGAACGCTGATGTCCCACTCAAAAGTGCTCAAGCCCTTAAGTTTGGAATAAATTAACCAGTCAGTGGATTGTGACTGTCCTCAAGAAGCATGACTGGAACAGCCAACACTTGGATTTTCCTGCTGTTTGAAGCTCTGGGGAAGCACATACAGGCATCTTTCCCAAGAAGGTTGCCAGTTTCCCTTGGGCCCAAGACACCATGCAAAGCCATGAAGCAAGGTCTCAGCAACAGGAGGTTGCAGAAGGCTCCTGAATGTGCTGAAAGCTGCAGCTGAATGGCATTGGTCACAATTCTCTCACTGAAATTCAGATGGCTACAGCAGCAGCCCTCCAAGCCACCTGCCTGGGCTACCTTTAGGGTCCCTGCCTTTGGCAGCTGGCTGCCCACGTTTCAAAAGCCACAGGAAGATCTTCATCCAACAGGGAACAAAATGGGGACTGCCTTTCCAACTTCTATTAAGAATAAATTTATAAAGTCTTCTCATAATGATTAGGTTTGAATAAATTCAGTGCAAGTCATGATTAAAGGACCTGCACTTATTTTTCTTAGTGGCTTTCAAGTGGGAACTGTAGATGAGTTTTCCTGCTGTTCACTCTTATACTTTAAAGTGTTGGTTAATTAAAACATTAAAGAAAGTTTTCACAAGGAGCTATCCATTTCCAGGCACTAAAAAGCTCTTCTAAAATAACATTTGGTTCTCAAAATTGAACTGTGCTTTTAAAATGTCACTCCCCAAATATTAACATAATCAAATGGCATCACAATAGCAAAAAAAAAAAAAAAAAGAAAAAAAAAGAAAAATTTTTTTAATAACCCTGCTTTAATAACCCTGCTGCCTTTGGAAGGATCACAAAGGTTAAATGTCAAGTTTCATATGCTTAAATAAATATCACAAAATAAAAAAGAAGGTCTGAAATATTAGTACTAGGAAGGACACATTGTTTGTTTCAGGGTGCTACAGTAGCCCTTATTGCACCTGGCATTAAAATTTTTAATAATCTAGATCAAAGGAGATAAGAAAGGTCACTGAAACCAAAGTAGGCTACTTTTTAGCACTCCTATACACAGAGAGCAGGGTGTTGCTTCAGCATGTTAGGTAGTGAATTTCTTTGATCCTCCCTATAAATGTCACTCTGTATGTCATTTAATTGTGGTATAGCCTTTTATTGGTGCAATTAAATCTTTTCTAATGCATTACTTTATCTCCAGCTCTGCTAAAAATCCTGCCATTGTTTAGGAAGCGAGGTAAGTCACTGGGAAATGATGCAGTTGACTTTACTTTCTTCCTCCCCCCTCCACATGATTTCTCCCAACGATTTTAATTTAAATCTCACCAAACAGTATAATGGTCCTGGAATTTGTTTAGTCATTTGACTTCCTTTATCACACAGAGATGGTAAACATTCTGTTGCTAACCTGAAGTGGGCTCCAAGCAGCAAAACTAGGAGGATATTAAACCAGTAAAAGCTTATCAACTGATTCATTGATATGCTGTAAATTCCAGCCTTTTCATTTTACTTTTGAGGGTTGCCATAAGTCAACACATTAGTAAGCAATTTGCTGACATTGGATCACTTAAAAAGGCTTCCCCATGGACAAAGTTCACCTCAGTGCTTTGTTTCATGGTTTCATTTTATCATAGTCCTGGGCTGCTGTACAGATGACTGATGCAGCTCTGCATACCAATGGGGGATTGCACAGTCACTCTCTGCCACCCTGTCCAAGCTTTAGGAAGTCTCAGACATAAAATGGACAGGATATGGTGTTTTCAGAAATTCAGTTGCTCTGTTTCACTTATTCTAAGATTTTAAAAAGCTATTTGGTATTGTGCATTGAAATTTCATTTTTACATCCTAGAACGTGACAATAACAAATTATTTAAAATGCTGATTTCCTTTCCATTTACATTGATAGTTCATGCTGATTTACCAGTTAACAAAAATTCTGGGTTAAATTTTAGTTACACTTCTTTAGTTACACTTCTTTCTTTCTTCACAACCTTAGACTTTATTTACTGATTGATGGATTTGAATCTGGTCAGATCATACTACAGAAAATCCAAGAGTAGCTCAAAGATAGTATCTTAGCAGCAGAAGAACTTCATAGATCCCTGTCTCATGCAGGAAGAGAGTTTTCCTCTTTTGTTTTTTACAGTTCCAGCTCAAAGATGCTCACTTGCTTACACCACCAGGTCAGGTCTGGTCAAGTCTGATACCACTATAAATGAAGCATAACTCAGGGCCAGAAGTGCTTTAAAGTGATCAACCTTTACTTGATGGTGAACAGATACCCCAAATTACATAAGAGTTGGGTGTAATCTTACCTTGCTCTTTCTGAAGGCAGATTTTAATATGAAATCAGTAAGAGCAGTTAAAATTGCAATGCAGAGATTCAGTTCTAGAACCCAGCCAACAACAGTCAGGTACAACTTACCAGAGTTGTTATTAATTAAATACATAGTCACATCAAAATATTAAAGATATAAGCAACATTTCATGAGTCATTCAGAGAGCACATGGTGTCACCAGTCAGGACTGTTTGGAGACCACAAAGTGTAAATATTGGAGGAGGCCTGTGGGGGGACAGTTGTTAGTTTGTTTTTTGTTTTACACATACCACTGAAGGTCAGTGTGAACGAGAGACTGGGATGTTTCATTCCTGACACTGAGCAGTCCTGAGGGGAAGCACCAGGTTCCCCACCTGCTCTTTGCTACACAGAATTCTCTCAGAGAGTACAGGAGAGGCTGCTGCTTTTCCCATCACTTTGGGATGTAAATACATCCACAACACAAAGGCTCTCAGGGAACTTTTATGTTACATTGATAAATCAGCATTTACTAACAAGGAAACTAATCCTATTTCTACTGACAAATGGATACATCCTTTCAATATCCTGTTCTGTTAGGGATCTTTTGGGAACACAGTACAGCTCTCAGGAGTGAATCAGACCATAGAATAAAAAGAATATGAGATCATGTTAGCAGAAAATTTAGGAAAGTCAAAGTTTTTATAAATTCTTAGTGAGATTTTCACATCAGTTCTGAGGGATTTTTGTGAGATTTGGGCTCTCAATTTCTTTGGGTCTAGAAAGGTTCATTTTAAATACTCTGATATATGCCATGGAGGGTCACTTTCACAGCTGGAAGGGAGCAGGTGTGCTGGAAGAGAAAAGCTACCAAAAGAAAAAAAAAAAGTGAAATGAAACAATAGCAAAGTGTTCAGGTGCCATGAGGCTGGCTGACCTTGAGCTCAATCCTTCTGCCACCTCACCTCCCACTTCCCAACCCACATTCCCTGAAAAAATGGCTCCTTCTTTTCCTAGCAGGTTTTCTGTCACAGGAAATGCATGGAGAGAAAAGCTCACATTGCCTGGTCATGATACAGACATCAAAATGTCCCTTAAAACTGCACACATTTATGGACAGAGACACACAGACTTGTGTGAATCCCTGCAGAGCTTTCAGACACAGGGGTACATTAGGAGGAAGTGGCCACAGTGAGCTGGGATTGCACTCAAGATGATTAAATTCAAGAAAAGCAATCATTGTAGGTATTTATTTTGTTGAGCCCCTGGGGGAGCATCTTCAGATATGAAGATGAGATTGCCCAGTCCAATATGGAATATGCAGAAACATACTCAAGGCAGTAAAAAGGCATAAAAATCTATACTGAGGACAACACCTGAGATGCCTCTTCTCCCACTGACTGTCAAAAAAACCAAACCAACCAAGCCCAAAAAAAATACAAAGAAAAAAAGCACTAAAGACATGATGTAATGCCAGAGCTCAAGCTTGGAGGTTTCTGTGTCCACTTGAGCTCTGTTTCCAAAAATACATAAGCATCCCCACAGACAGCAAAAAGGATGATAAGAGGCCTCCATAAAACTGTTGAGAGAATTTGGGGTCACTTCTCATATAGAAAATAAAGGGAAATGTAACCTTTCAGGTGGAAAATAAAGGGAAATGTAACCTTTCAGGTGTGGAAAAAACAGTGCAAGCAGAAAGACTTGTTTTACTATGGACATTTGAGAACAAAATTAAAGCTTAAAGCATGGTAAGGGCCCTTCACATTTGACATTTATGAAATCTTGGACAATTAAACACTGGAATATACTGCCTAGAGACAGCCCAGCAATCCCATCAGAGATAGCCCCTGCCAGGCTGGTTAAATACCAGGAATAATGCAGCTATGTTTGATCCTGTGCAGCTGGATGGATCAAACATCTCCAGGTCCCTTCAGGACACGTGATCCTTGAACTTTAAAAACAGCCTAAACTCTCCTGTGAAATGGAATTTAAAGTCTGAAGCTGTTTAAGTTACAGACAGTTTAGGAAGCATGGTGGTCAGGGGTTTAACATGTAAAAATTGCCCTTCAGTCAAACTATTAAGGAATTGCAAATTACTTACAAATTACATAATGAGCATACTTTGCTATAAACAATCCCCACTGGCCTAAAGCAGAGAGTTCCAATTAATTGCACACCTGTCTTAAAACACAGGGCTGTGATGCCTCTGAATGTAGAGGAATCTCCATCACATTCCCTACCTCAGCTATTTTAGAAATGCAACCATTTGAGAATTTCAAAAGCAGGTTAAATTGGGAAAAGGAAGAAGAGAGAAGAACACAACTATTCATACCAATTATAGACAGGATAACTTAGAATGACACAGATTATTTTTTCATTGCTTATAATAAAAAAAGGGATAAAACTCTGCTATAAATCACACTTTACCTTTATTGAAAACACAGTAAAAAAAATTTTCCTACAAAACATTCAGTGTAACATTTCAAACAAAGGAAAAAAACATATTACCACTGCTTTTCACAAAACGAA